CAGGGCAGGGCACAGGGCCTCTTCTTCATCGTCAGCACAGCACCTTTCAGCCTGGGATGGCTGATGGTGAGTGGATTCTTAAGTGGAGGAAGAAATTTTTATACTAGTGGTTTCAGCTACCCAAGTGTAGCCATTGTGCTGAAGTGTTTTCTACTGTTTGTGTGTGAGGCAGGGAAAGACAGAGACACATACAGAACTCCCTAGAGCTGCTTCCTTCCCCGCGTGTCTAAAATGGCTCTGCTAACCTGGGGCCAGAGCCAGGAGCTGGGAACACAAACCAGGGAGTCCACGTGGGTGGCAGAAGGCAAGTTATTGAAGCCACCATGGCTGCCTCCCAGAGGTTGCGTTGGCAAGAAGCTGGAGTCCAGAGCCAGAGCTGGGAATTGAACCCAGGTACTCTGATGTGGGGCACAGGTGTCTTAACTGCTAGGCTGGCCACCCACGCCCGTGAACTTTTTTTTTGTATTTGAACTTTTATTTAGTAAATATGAATTTCCAAAGTACAGCTTATGGATTACAATGGCTTTTTCTACCCCATAACTTCTCCTACAACCTGCACCCCTCCCATCTCCTGCTCCCTCTCCCATTCCATTCATGTCAAGATTCATTTTCAGTTATCTTTATATACTGAAGATCAGTTTAGCATATATTAAGTAAAGGTTTCATCAGTTTGCACCCACACAGAAACACAAAGTGTAAAATACTGTTTCAGTACTGGTTATAGCATTACTTCACATTGGACAACACATTAAGGACAGAGATCCTACATGAGGAGTAAGTACACAGTGACTCCTGTTGTTGACTTAACAATTTGACACTCTTGTTTATGGTGTCAGAAATCTCCCTAGGCTCTAGTCATGAGTTTCCAAGGCTATGGAAGCCTTTTGAGTTCGCTGACTTCAATCTTATTTCGACAAGGCCGTAGTCAAAGTGGAAGTTCTCTCCTCCCTTCAGAGAAAGGTACCTCCTCCTTTGATGGCCCGTTCTTTCCACTGGGATCTCACTCGCAGAGATCTTTCATTTAGGTCTTTTTTTTTTTTCCTCCCAGAGTGTCTTGGCTTTCCATGCCTGAAATACTCTTATGGGCTCTTCAGACAGATCCGCATGCCTTAAGGGCTGATTCCGAGGCCAGAGTGCTGTCTAGGACATTCGCCATTCTATGAGTCTGCTGTGTATCTCGCTTCCCATGTTGGATCGTTCTCTCCCTTTTTTGATTCAATCAGCTAGTATTAGCAGACACCAGTCTTGTTTATGTGATCTCTTTGATTCTTAGACCTATCATTATGATCAATTGTGAACTGAAATTGATCACTTGGACTAGTGAGATGGCATTGGTACATGCCACCTTGATGGGATTGAATTGGAATCCCCAGGCACGTTTCTAACTACCATTTGGGGCAAGTCAGCTTGAGCTTTTTAAAAATTCATCATCAGGCTGTTTGTTTGCATATGTCATAAGGGAGCAACCTTGGTGAGCTTTTCCGAGTTTTTAATTACAACATTAGAATTTGTTCTGTTTTCAGAGGCGTCGGGTCAGTTTCCTGTTGCTGCTGTAATATGTTTCTGTAAACCTTAAAACAACACACCTTTGTTAGCGCACATTTCTTGAGATCAGAAATCCAAGCTGAGTTTCAACAGGACTGTGTCCCTTCTGGATGCCCAGGGGCGGAATCCATTCCCTTCCCGGCTTCTAGAAGTTTCCCGGGCTCTCGGCCCCTTCCTGCGTCATCGGAGTCAGCCAGGCATCACCTTCCGGTCCGGCTCTGACTGTGAGCTCCCCACCCCCAGCTGAGGCTCTGACTGTGAGCTCCCCACCCCCAGCTGAGACTCTGACTGTGAGCTGCCCCCCCCCACAGCTGAGGCTCTGACTGTGAGCTGCCCCCCCCACACACAGCTGAGGCTCTGACTGTGAGCTGCCCCCCCACAGCTGAGGCTCTGACTGTGAGCTGCCCCCCCCCACACACACACAGCTGAGGCTCTGACTGTGAGCTGCCCCCCCCCACAGCTGAGGCTTGACTGTGAGCTGCCCCCCCCCCACAGCTGAGGCTCTGACTGTGAGCTGCCCCCCCCACAGCTGAGGCTCTGACTGTGAGCTGCCCCCCCACAGCTGAGGCTCTGACTGTGAGCTGCCCCCCCACACACACAGCTGAGGCTCTGACTGTGAGCTGCCCCCCCCCACAGCTGAGGCTTGACTGTGAGCTGCCCCCCCCCCCACAGCTGAGGCTCTGACTGTGAGCTGCCCCCCCACAGCTGAGGCTCTGACTGTGAGCTGCCCCCCCACAGCTGAGGCTGACTGTGAGCTGCCCCCCCACAGCTGAGGCTCTGACTGTGAGCTGCCCCCCCACAGCTGAGGCTCTGACTGTGAGCTGCCCCCCCCACAGCGGAGGCTCTGACTGTGAGCTGCCCCCCCACAGCTGAGGCTCTGACTGTGAGCTGCCCCCCCCCCCACAGCTGAGGCTCTGACTGTGAGCTGCCCCCCCACAGCTGAGGCTCTGACTGTGAGCTGCCCCCCCCACAGCGGAGGCTCTGACTGTGAGCTGCCCCCCCCCCCACACACACAGCTGAGGCTCTGACTGTGAGCTGCCCCCCCCCCCACAGCTGAGGCTCTGACTGTGAGCTGCCCCCCACAGCTGAGGCTCTGACTGTGAGCTGCCCCCCCCCCACACAGCTGAGGCTCTGACTGTGAGCTGCCCCCCCACAGCTGAGGCTCTGACTGTGAGCTGCCCCCCCCCACAGCTGAGGCTCTGACTGTGAGCTGCCCCCCCCCCACAGCTGAGGCTCTGACTGTGAGCTGCCCCCCCCCCACACAGCTGAGGCTCTGACTGTGAGCTGCCCCCCCACAGCTGAGGCTCTGACTGTGAGCTGCCCCCCCCCACAGCTGAGGCTTGACTGTGAGCTGCCCCCCCCCCACAGCTGAGGCTCTGACTGTGAGCTGCCCCCCCACAGCTGAGGCTCTGACTGTGAGCTGCCCCCCCACAGCTGAGGCTTGACTGTGAGCTGCCCCCCCCCCCACACAGCTGAGGCTCTGACTGTGAGCTGCCCCCCCCCCACACAGCTGAGGCTCTGACTGTGAGCTGCCCCCCCACAGCTGAGGCTCTGACTGTGAGCTGCCCCCCCCCCCACAGCTGAGGCTCTGACTGTGAGCTGCCCCCCCCCCACAGCTGAGGCTCTGACTGTGAGCTGCCCCCCCCCCACACAGCTGAGGCTCTGACTGTGAGCTGCCCCCCCCACAGCTGAGGCTCTGACTGTGAGCTGCCCCCCCACAGCTGAGGCTCTGACTGTGAGCTGCCCCCCCCCCCACACAGCTGAGGCTCTGACTGTGAGCTGCCCCCCCACAGCTGAGGCTCTGACTGTGAGCTGCCCCCCCACACAGCTGAGGCTCTGACTGTGAGCTGCCCCCCCCACACAGCTGAGGCTCTGACTGTGAGCTCCCCCCCCCACAGCTGAGGCTCTGATTGTGAGCTGCCCCCCCCCCACACACACACAGCTGAGGCTCTGACTGTGAGCTGCCCCCTCCCCCCCCCACAGCTGAGGCTCTGACTGTGAGCTGCCCCCCCCACCACAGCTGAGGCTCTTCGGAGGATCCTGAGCCTGCTTGGGTGACCCAGGTCGCTCCTGTCACCCCAGCGGCGCTCACAGGTGTAGAGTTTGGACGTCTGGGGCTTGGCGGGAGCTTTCTGCTCATCACAAGCAGCCCTGAGTCTACTTCCCATAGAACTTTTCGTTACTTAAATTGTCACTTAAAACTGCTGCCCAAGATGCATCATTCCGTTTTCACAAACAGAATTTGGTCCTCATTGTTAGGAATGTTGGAGAGATCAGACTCTGTGCTTCTCATTTATCCGTTATGACGTGTGCGAGGCTCGCTGCCAGTGGTGCGGCCTTGTTCACGTAGCATTTCTTTTTTTTTTTTTTTTTAATTTATTTTTTACTTGAGAGTCAGAGTTATACAGAGAGAGGAGAGGCAAAGAGAGAGAGAGAGAGAGAGAGAGAGAGAGAGAGGTCTTCCATCCACTGGTTCACTCCCCAATTGACCGCAATGGCCAGAGCTGCACCGATCCCGAGCCAGGAGCTCCTTCCGGGTCTCCCACACGGGTGCAGGGGCCCAAGGACTTGGGCCATCTTCTACTGCTTTCCCAGGCCACAGCAGAGAGCTGGATCGGAAGTGGAGCAGCCAGGACTAGAACCAGCGCCCATATGGGATACCAGCACTTCAGGCCAGGGCGTTAACCTGCTGTGCCACAGTGCCAGCCCCCATGTAGCGTTTCTAAGGACTGTGGTTATAAGCAACTTTGTTTTGCTTTCCAGTGTGAAAAATAAGGAGGATGGCTTTTTATCAGAAAAGAATTGAAGCAAAATCTTTTATTAATAGTTTATCATAAATTTTATTTTCTTGTTTCTTGGGACTGTTTATTTGAAACTCAGCGTTACAGGGTGAGAGGGAGAGGCAGAGATCTTCATCTGCTGGTTCACTCTCCAAATGGCTACAATGGATGGGGTTGGGCCACGTTGAAGCCAGGAGCCAGGAGCTTCTTCTGGGTCTCCCACGTGGATGCAGGGGCATATCTCCCACATGGATGCAGGGGCCCATCTCCCACTGATTTTCCCAGGTGCATTAGCAGGGAGGTGGATCGGAAGTGGAGCAGCCAGAATTCGAAGTGGTGCCCATCTGGGATGCTGGCATCACCGGTAGCGGCTCCACCCCCTACACCACAAGGCTGGCCCCTTTGTTTTTGACTCATTTAACTCATCGATTTTTCAGGAAGTATAATTTCAGTCTAATTCTGGCAGCAAGAGCTGTGAAACAAAAGCCTTGATTCTGAAACGTGGATTCGCAGGACTCCTGAGTGAAAACGTTTCAGGGGGAAATTTCCGTATAATTACGTCTCCTGGTGCTTTTTGAATTGGAGGTAGCAGTAGTTCACATCTAAGAAAAGTAGATTCCCTCCTCCATGTTGTATTTGACAGCTTTTTTTTTTCTTCTGATTCTGTCTTTATAGCTTAAGAAATGTATCAAAACTCCAGAAATCCCGTCCAAACACGTTAGGAACTGGGTCCCGAAGGTCTTGGAGCAGCGGCGACAAGGTCTGGAGATGTATTTGCAGGTAAGGTGGTCGGCCCGGGCGGCCTCAGTACTCACGCTGGGTTTTTTTTTCTCAGTACCGGTAGGGGCGCTGCGGAGCACAGCGAGCCGTGAAAGGTCTACATTAAGAGGAGGAAGCTTCAAAGTGTAGGTTTGCCCCTCTGAGGAGTTCTGTTTCAGATAGGGGATGCGTATGGGGGAAGTGGGAGCTGCAGCGTGGAGAAGCTGTTGTCGACAGGATCTGTCCGCTTAGGATTTTTCAGTTGTATGAATTGGGTTTTGCTTTCCATTTTCCCGTTCGGTATCTGCCACTTCTTCTTGGAGTGGCCCCTGGTGTTGGTGTGTGCTGGGGGGCAGCTGGCTGGGTGGGGCTGGGAGGGGGTTGCGTCTGTGGAGCGAGGCTGAGAGCTGCTGCGAGGGGGCGCCAGCTCCCTGGGAATGTGATGGCACAGGAGCAGGTGGAGCTGCCCAAGTCAGGGGAGACCCAGGCCCGTCCACCAAGCCAGAGGGAAAGGTGGGGCAGGACCAGCACCTCTGTGTGGGCCTTATGGGCAGGATGGGGGCAGAGGCGGCCAGGGTGGGTGGGGGACCTCAGCCAGCAGCAAGCAGCACCAGACTCCCCCGAAGAGGCAGCGCCCCATTGAAGCATGAGCCCTGGTGGCTGCAGGATGTCCGTGGGACTCCAGGGACCAGGAGAGCCAGGGTTGCCTTCTCCCCACAGCTCTCCTGGCTGGAGATGAGAAGCCCAGTTCCATGCCAGAAGTGTGTCCCTGGCCCCTGCGGTGTTCCCAAAGCCGCCTCAGGGCATCTAAGCAGAGCAGGCTGGGGGGTGGGGGTGACGGGACCCCACCCCATGGGACTGTGTGTGGCAGTCCCAGGAGCTTCCTGACTCCTATGGCTTCAGGCAGCACTTCGGAGCCAAAAAAAAAAGGCAAAAAGCAAGACATCAGACGTGGTGGGCAGAGGGTAAAACTTGCCGCTGTCTGTAATTACATGGCATAGGTAAACAACGCGTTCCTGTCTGTAAGCCCGATTTTCCACGGGGATTGCGTGTCTTCGGGCGGAGCTTGTGAGGAAGGCTTTGCTCCCCGCCCGTGGTCCGGGACACATGACTTGCATTACTGCTCTGCGTAAACACGCTAGGTTGTTTGTGCCCTGCATGTAAACACATGGGTCCACCCATCTGGCACGGACGGAGCCGAGGCAGCATTGCCATGGAGCTTGAGAGATGCGGTGGCAGGGCTGGGCGGGGTTGGTACTCAGTGCTGCCGCTCAGCTGCCCTGGGAGTCCACTGCTTCCCAGTCTCCCTTCTCCCTTCTCCGCCTGGTGCTGCTGCAGGCACTGGGAGCTGGACCCGCACGGCGGAGATGAGTGTGAGCGCTTCATTCATGCCCGGAGAAACATGGACCCTGGCCCGGATGTCCTTTCTCGATCCTTCCGGGGATGTCAGTCTCCCTGGGTGTAGGGCACCGTGGGCGTTCCTCCTGTGCCACGGTCCCATTACAGTTAACTGCTCAGTCGCCCTCAGCACCTGTCCGAGTCCCACAGGAGTGGGTGCCCCCAGTGCTTGCCTGCAGCCACCCTCCAGCTGCTGCCAGGTTGCCATCTGAGCTGGGCGGTGTGTGGTCCTGAGCCTGCCCGTGACCCTGGGGAGGCATTCATACCTCCAGGTCAGGGCACCTGGAGCGCACAGGGCAGAGGAAATCAAGTAGCTGCCACTTGTCGTGTTTTCTTATCTCTTCTCCTTAAGTAATGCACCCCCGCAAACCTCCCTGAGGTGTAGTGAGGTAGGAATTGGTCCCTGTAAAAGGAGAATTAAGCACAACAAGATCTTTGAGGAAAGTGAGTTGCGTTTCATCTAAACAGAAGATCTGTGCCAAATAAAGATGATTATCCTAGGAGCACACCTCTTGTTTTCCCAGTTGCATTACTAGGAAGTAATGTAGCTACTTGGGAGGATGTTTTCACTCCAGTGCATGAACGAGCTGATATTCATTGTTGCTAATTTACCAGTCACAGGCGCCGATGTAGCTTTGCTAAGTGATAAATGTGCATCAGCACCTGTGGTCTTGGAAGCAGAAGAGCCGATCTGGCTTCAGGGAAGCCTTGAACCGCAGCCCGCGTGAGGGCCCTGGAGGTACTTTGTCCTGTCTGCTTCCCGCTTTCCATGGTGGAAGCCTCATTGGGTCCCCCTAGTGGCACAGAAGTGCTGCAGCAGCTCCAGAACTCGCCTGTTCGCACCACAGGCTGCAGAGCCCACGCCGGGGCGGGGCCTCTGCTGGTAGAACCTCTGTGCTGGTCTGAGTGGTTCAGGTGTGTGTCTGTGCCCACCTCTGAACCTCACCTTGGCCGGGGATCCCTGTCTGGCTTCAGGCGATCATGGGCTCCTCTGAAGATGGAGAAAGGAAGGGTGATTTACCCACAGAATTACCAGGGGAGTCCTGGTCTGAAAAAGCGAAGAAAAACTGGAAGAAGAGGGGCCCGCGTTGTGAGGCAGCAGGTCGAGCTGCTGCCTGTGACGCTGGCATCCCATGGGAGCGCTGGCTCCAGTCCCGACTGCTCTCCTTCCAGTCCAGCTCCCTGCTGATGTGCCTGGGAAAGCAGCAACAGACGGCCCAGGTGCGTGGGCCCCTGCACCTATGTGGGAGACCCGGATTTTCAGGCTCCGGGTTTCAGCCTGTCACAGCCCTGGCCATTGCTGGCATTTGGAGAGTCAGTCAGCAGAAGGAAGATCAGTCTCTCTCTCTCCTCCTCCCTTTCAAGTAGATAAATAAATCCTTTTTTTTTTTTTTTAAAAAAAAAAAAAAGGATCATCAAAGGAAGAAAAATTTAGCAAGTTTTTGGAATTGCTGGGATACGATGTGAATGGATTTGACAGCATGAGAAGCGCTGGCCCAGATGCAGCCAGGAGAGCCTGTGTGGGGAGTGGAGGCAGCATGCACTTTGCAGCGTGGAGAGCAGAGGACGGGCACAGTGAAGCCGAGAGCAGGTGCATGGTGCACGGTGTGTGTGTGGACCAGGTGCTTGGGACGGATTGCCTGCAGCCTGGTGTTCATGATCCGACTCAGTTAAAAACAAAAAAAGACTTCTTTATTAGCGAAACAAGAAAAAAGTAAACACAGTGGCTAGGGAAGAAATAAGATTTCTAATGAAGATATCAGAACACTTAAGCTCACTTTGGGCTGGCATGATGGTGCGACGGATTAACCCACCGCTTTTGATATCAGCATCCCATATGAGTGCTAGTTCAACTCCCGGCTGCCTGCTTGGGACCCTGACAACCACGTGGGAGACCTGGATGGAATTCCTGGCTCCTGGCCTCAGCTTGGCCCAGCCTTGGCTGTTGTGGGCACTAGGGGAGTGAACCAGAAGTTGGAAGAACGGTGTGTGTGTGTGTGTGTGTGTGTGTCTGTGACTCTGCCTTTGAAATCTTTTAAGAATGTCAATCCACTAGCTGCAAGGTCAAGCGCACCTAAGTGCATGACCCACCCACAGTGTTTTTCTTTTTTTCCTTTTTCTTTTTTTTTTTTTTAAGATTTATTTATTTGAAAGAGTTACACAGAGAGAAGGAGAGGCAGAGAGGGAGAGAGAGGTCTTCCATCCACTGGTTCACTCCCCACATGGCCACAATGACCGGAGCTGGGCTGATCCGAAGCCAAGAGCCAGGAGCTTCATCCAGATCTCCCATGCGCATGCAGGGGCCCAAGCACTTGGGCCATCTTCTGCTTTTCCCATAGCAGAGAGCTAGATCAGAAATGGAGTAGCCAGGACTCGAACCGGTGCACATATGGGATGCCATCACTGCAGGGGGCAGCTTTGCCCACTGTGCCACAGCACCACACTATCTTTCCATTCGGAAAGGAGGCCCATGTGAGAACTCCTCACTTCTCCAGGGAGGAGACCCACCCATGCCACCCAGGGTACTCTTCAGGGTCATCTCATAACCAGGCATGTGATGAAAGCAAGCAGCATCAACAGAAAGACCAAGAAGAAATAAAATACTCTTCAGGAAAGAGTTAACTCAGAATACAAAATGCATCTTAAAACTGGATGAGTACATCTGGAGGGCTTCGCAGAGGTATCGTGGATTATCCAGAAGCTTACAGCAGGTGTTGTGTGAGACAGCAGGAGAATTTACAGGAGTCCTTAGGGTCAAATGTGTTCGGCAATTAGAAACATTCCGAAGGTGCTTTCTCAAGTAACGATAATGTTCCATAGAGTACAGCCAGAAAATCCCGGAGTAAAGCCTGGAGATGGAGACCAAGCCAGGTCTCACCTCCCTTTTCTTTCTGGAGTCCAGAGGGAAGACAGAGGTGTAATACCAAAGGCAAGGGAGTCATCAAAGAGAGACAGTGGGAAGTTGCCCCAAGCTGCAGAGCGTAAGCCTTTCCCTAGATGTGTTGCAAGGGCTGTGATCGAAGAACGACAGAAGCTCCGTGTGCCTGGACATGGCCAGTGACATCTCAGCCACTCCGAGGCGAGATCTGCCAGCTGCCCGAAAGGAAACCAGTGTGGACCAGGCTGCGGCCTGCTCGTGGCTGCCTGATTTCTTCATCTGAAAGGGGCTTAAAGGTCTGGTTCCTCCACTCTGCCGCAGCAGCTAGGTCACATGGTGAGTCTGTTTGTAATTTTTTGTGGCTATGCCATTTTTCATTTCTGCCAGCAGTGGCCAAGGGCTCCATTTTCTCCACATCCTTGCCCAGCCTTGGTAAGTTTTCTGTTTTTTGTTTTTGTTTTTTTTTTTGTTTTTTTTTTTTATAGTAGCCCTCCAATGGGTGTCAGGTGGTAGCTTCTCATAGTTTTGATTTGCATTTCCCTAGTGCACTATGAATGTGCCTGTTGTCCATTTGTGTATCTTTCTTGAAGAAATGTCTGTTCATGTCCCTCACCATTTTTTAATCAGATGGCTTGTTTTCAGGAGTTCTGTCTAAATGCCCACAATAGCCATAACTGGGCCAAGCTGAAGCCAGAATCCATGAACTCCATCCAGGTCTCTGCTGTGGGAGGAAGGTACTCAGCCA